TGGACAAAACAGCTCACCCATTTATATTATATAACCAGACAGTCTGAAGCTTGGCAGACATGGATGGACAATCCTGGAGCAGTAATTGATTCCTTGTAGAGTGAAAGATCCTCTATTGATTTGTTTCTGTTTTTCACTCTAATGAATAGACAAAGTTGTTTTATGTAGGGATGGTCTTCACTATGTAGTTGGTATTGGCTTAACTTCAGATTGTTTTGTTTTTAAGTCAGGAGGTATAATGTAGTGCATCAAAAGCCATCTAACTTTAGGAGTGGCGGTGGTAAAACACCATTGGTATACAGCTCATTCTTAAGTGGAGGTACGACATTTTCACTCTCCAAACTTAGTACCAATTAAGACACCATCCGTTCCTTCCATGGTACTCTCTAGTGTATGCTTGGTCCCATAATTTGTTGCAGTAGCCACACAGAACTCACAGACAATACTCACTCTTATATGGCTTATTGGGAATGTAAACAGATCAACTTGAAAGTCATAGAAATAACTCAGGATCAAGATCACCTGGGAAATAGCTTAGACTGAAGACAGGACATAGTTCTTCAATCAGGACAGCTTCCAACCCGAACAGTTCTCAGCCCCTTCTGTCTTAGGGTACAAAAGAGACCCCATTTCCAATGTAATTTAAAGAGGACATTGATTAAGTCTTAAAAGAGATCAAGATGACTCAAAGATATAGACATAGACATATCATCTGGATGAAAGAGGCCATTAACAGGTTAAAATGGTTTCCCAGGGTTCATAATTGAGATCCAAGATATATAGGGCATGAGGGGTGTGTGTGCAAAGGAAACTGTGATAAAACATGACTGGTGGCAGATAAATACATCACAATTACAGCTGGGACTACAGAAGCAGGAATGGGACTATGGTTGGGACATGTACATCATTACATAGACTTGCTTACAAGATTGGTTCAGGGACATCTGACCAAAACAGGGTGATACTGATAGGATACAACTTTTGACTGATGACTGTGTGACCCCCTGTACCACCCCAAAATGCTGACCTCCATCAAGGATATACCTAGGCAAACCACTAGTGTGTTAGGCGTGTGTGTGTGTGTGTGTGTGTATTTATACAGTAAGAAGGAGTATGATGGTTAATTAGTCTGCACAACTGTACAGAGGGCTCAGTTCAACTCACTTTCATGGAACAGTTTATATAAAGAAGATCCTTCAATTCACTCAGGCTGCTGGACCAAGGTCAAGGAAACAGACAGCAGAGTCTTCCCACAGGCAAGACAGGGAGAGTCAGCCTGCAGGCAGCAGGCAGCAGAATGGGAAGCAATAATAAATAGTGCGGAGCTTAGCAAAGCAGGCCCTGATGGGATCTCGACCTCAAGCAATGCATGGCAACACAATCCACCAGCCTTGGGCTCAAGCAATGTATGCACCAGCAGTGTGGCTAAGAATGTCTTGAAGGAGACTCAAGCTCTAGCAACATAATCCATGGGTTGGCTCAGCCCATTGTAGTGAAGCACATGGTTGAGGCAAAGAATGAGCTCAAAGAGCGATATGCTGGTCAGATCACCAGGGAAGAAGAGAGGGATGCCTACCATCAAAAATATTTCTCTGCCCTCCAATCAAGCTGTGACCAGATTAGACTCCGCTCACATGTTCCTATGGAGGCCTTCTTGGCACAATAAACCTAACTATCATAGCTGGTGACCCAGAGGAACCAGCATTCTGGAAGATCTGGGTCCTGAATGTTGGGTATGTGTAGCTTTCACCCACAAGTAAAGTCAGAAGTGGACTAGGTTGGGCTTTCTAGTGCAGAGAAGGTTGTTCGTAAAGGAGGAAGGGGTTCATGGATGGGTGCATTCTGGGAATGAGGAAGTACGTGGAGATGAGGTAGTGTGCCAGTTTCTCTTCTAAATATTAAAATTCCGTTTTAGGATTTTCCTTACAGCATAAAGAGCAAGGAGAGATATCTTTCCTGGAGCAAGAAAGGATTTAACTTTCTTCACCCATTTAGTTATTTGTTTGAAAACATATTCATTCATCCATGTATTGTCATATTTAAAGGTTTGGGTGAACATATACATTACAAAAAAAAATCTTAATTCAACAAATACATTGCTCTTGCCTTAGCCAAACTGCATGTATCTGACCATGTTAAATACAAGCAGTGCTTTGTTGTTTGTTAGTGGAATTTCTGTACCATACACTGTTTACTAGTCTAAGCATGACTCCATAAAGACACATAATATTTCCCCACAAGAAGAAAGGAAGTGTTTAAAAAACTTTAAAGTGATTTGGGCAGTCCATTAATCAAAGGCAAAATCAGGCCATCTCAGATCTTAAGCAATATATGATGAAAATTAAGTGAAATTTAAAGCCCATAAAATCCTTTTAGAGATATAGTGACTTTCCAAATTTTTTACTGAGCTAAAATCTTGGTTTGTTTTGAAGTCACTTGTCTATGTAATTACTCGGGTTGTAAAAGTGGTTATGTGGCATCAATCTGCCATAATTTGAATCCCATAGAATTTAATAACCCATCACCCTCCATCCCTTCATATCCACCCACTCATATCCGCCCTAGACAATTCAACTCTTTGTCTCTGAGATTCAGGTGTCCTAAAGCACATGCATCCGGGAGTGCTCACCCTGGCAGAAAACAACAGCATTACTATAATCTTGAAACAGAGAAGGAAATCATCCCTTGTCATTTTTCTAATAGATTCTCCTTTTGAAAAGTTTCAGGAAAATAAGACACAGCTAATTTCCCAGGAAGGTAGGCCTGCCACATATGTAAAGTCGTTGGCACAAATTCAGATCAAGAGCACTGTGAGGCTCTGGAGCAGGCGGGCATGAATGAACCAGTGAGTGATTCCAGCAGCATCTCCAGCTCAGTTAGTGGTGAAGTGAAACTGGGAACTCATGAGGCCTCAGGATACAGTCTTGCAAATGTCCAGACGGGTGAATGCTTGCTGGCAGGGCCATTGAGTGCTATTGGTACTGTATTTAGAGTTTCCAAAACCAAATCAAACTCACTGCCATCAAGTAGATTAAACAATGGGCTTTTGAAAGACTATTTACCTCTCTTAAGCCAACACTACCTCCCTCTGACAATTTTTTTTGTGATGCAAACTAGGGGGGAGGGAGAAGAAAAAAAACAATGAAAGAAAAAAACACTGATTTATGAATTATCTTATAAATTTAATGTGCTTTAATGAATTGAAGCATTTTCCAGTTTTCCTATGCAAATCATCCACACTCCAGAGTGGATGAGAGTACTTCTGGCACCACATTCTAGATAGTTTATAAATACAATCCAGTTTTAAAATTGGCACATGACGTTTTCAAAAATAAACTAGCATTTTCTCATGTCGGGAATAATGTCTAATCCTTATCTCTTCCTATAACTCACCACACAAAAGGTACAGTTTGAGAGGCAAATGGAAATTCATTTATGACCAGGGGCCAGGTACCTACCTAAATCTTGATCACTTGTCCTTTACAAGTTTCCATCTCTGTCTGTTAATTCTGGAGGGAAATACCTCAGGATTTATAAGTTTATGGTTTGTAGTTACTGAAGGAAAAAGCGATGCAAGCCCAATCACCAATCAGCACTTGAGATGATCCCAACAACCCAAATGCCCTAAAAAGCCCCGCAAGGATTCAATGAAGGAATGAAGCACCATAGCTTTATTCTCATGTAAGTTCCTTTTGTTTTCTTAGAACTCCTTGACTTTTAAATCAATGTCAACTTTTTGTTTGTTCTCAATTATAGAAAATTTAAATTTAAACAAAATTAGTAAGAATAGTACATAAACCTCAATGTATCCATAATCCAATAAAATCCATTGTTTTCAAAAGACGATTATTATTTCTTCTCTCTCTTTTTCAGTCCTCTCACATGCAGAAGCAAATCCCAGGCATCATATCATCCATCTCTATGTCGTTGACAGGAAATCGCTAAGGGACAAAGACTTACTAAGTAGAAAAGCATGATCACTCGCTCATATCCACACAACAAAGCACAAGATAAATGGAGAAGGAAAAAGCAATCGTTCCGTTATCACATCAACAATCTGATTCATGTTTAAATTTCCAATTGTCACCTAGAACTCATTTTTTGTAGTTGAAGAAACTAGACCATTTCCCCTGGAATTTCTACTTTTTGTATCCTTTCCGCATGGGTTAACATGTTCCTATAGCTTCTGTCTTTCCTGAAAATTCTAAATGTTCCAATAGATGCAAGCATAAGAGTTTGGGGTTTCTTCCACAAAGAGGTGCTTACTGCTGATAGCTGCTGCTTTTGTCCTGCTGGAAGCAAGCCAAGGATGACAATTACCTGACTTCATGACAAGCTGCCCAGCAAAGATTTTCAAATGTCATCCTTTTTAGTTCATTGGATAATTGAAATGCTTTTTTCAAATGAAACTCTCCCTATCTTCAACTTGGTGACACAAAGCTATAGTTGGCAATGGAAAGGAGGGACACCTTGGTTCTTTTCCTTGGGTTTACCAGCTTTAAATGGATGGGTTGTGTCCTTAGCATCTTCTCATGGTAACCAGTTACTGTTTGTTTTTAAGTTCATAGATTTAAACATATTTGATGAATCTTCAGTATGTTGTACTTACGATGCTTGTTGAGGCTTTGCATGTCCTGTCCTTCCCCAAGTTGCTTTCTTTTGTGCATAGCCCTGATAGATTTTGATACTTCCTTGCTCTCTTGTGCATTTCCCGCCCCAGACCTGGGGCCAGCTTTTTACACAAGGGCTCTTGTTTCATTGGGTGGGAAGTAGTATTTCTAGACTACATGTTGGGTGGTGGAACGAAAGATTAGTTCTTATATTTGAAAACAATTTTATGGATGGTGAATACGGTAGCATGATGGATTATGCATTGGGCTGCTAACCCCCAGGTCAGCAGTTTGAATCCACCAGCTACTGCATAGGAGAAAGGTGATTCGTTCTGCTCCTGTAAAGATTGATAGCACTGGGGCAGTTTTACGATGTCCTATAGGGTCACTATGAGTTATAATCAACAGACTGGAAGTAAGGGTTTTGTTTTTGTTTTATTTATTTTAATCATACAAAATATTTTGTGTCCTATTTGCTATCAGATTATAAATAAACAATAGAAGTAAAATATTTTTTTAAAATACAACTAGGCAAAATATAAAACATTAGTAATCTTTTAAAAATGAAAAGATGATCATGAGAAAAATCAAATTAGTGTGTCATACAGCTAATTAACTTGAGCCTCCTGTGGTAGCAGATTTCTTTTGTCACACTGTGTGTTGTCCCAAAGAATATTCCAGCATGCTCCAAAGTGCTTAGGTGTTAGTGCCTTTTATTTAGTAGAAACATATCAGAGAGAGGCTTCAAACAAGGTAATATTAAAAAGTGCTGGGCATATTTCACCACATTTAAAGGGCCCTTTGATGAAAAGTGGGATGTGTTTTTCCAGAACGAGTGCATTGGTTTTATGTCAGTGTCCAGCTGCAGTCTAGGTGAGTTCCTTGACGTTCTGTGCTTCCTTTTCTTCCTCTCCTGCAGATAAAGAATTCATCTATAGAGAACAGAAAGGAGATGTGGTACTGCGAAATGTTGAAACAAATATGTCTACAGTGTTAATCGAAGGCAAAAAAATTGTAAGTACTTTCTTTAATGGCCAAGATAATTTCAATTTTTCCTCCTTCAAGTCAATAAAGCAGAAAATGACTTTAGGTTTCAACTTTTAGTATAGCCAAGCAGCAGCAATAAACTTGTAATACTACCGGCTGAGCAACTAAAGATAATGTGAAATTGAAACCACACTAATTTAATAAGATGAAAGCACAGTTTCTTTCCGTGGACGGGAAATTTCTCTGCAGGTGTTGGAAACAAGTGTTGCATATCTTATATAATTGAAAGATAACGTCCTAAGGCTCTTACACATTTACAGAACAATTGCAATAATGCCCATAAAATACTCCAGGAGGACGTGCTCAATCTGGATGTAAAAACACATGTTCACATGCACAGGGACTATTCAAGGTACTTATTTAAAATATTGACTGAAGAAATCAATATTTCTTTTAAAATCAATTTAGCAAAAGACCAAACGGTGCAGGAAGTATCAAAAGAAGAATTGGTCACAATGCAGCCATTTCAAGAGGTAGTAATGATCAAGAACCAATGGCATTAAAATTAGAAGTCCAGATTGCAATAAAGGCATTAATAAAAAACATGGCTGCAGGAATTGATGAAATACCAACGGAAATATTCCAACAGGTTGATGCAGTATGGGGAACACTCACTAGTCTATACCAAGATATTTGGAAAACAGCTACCTGGCCAGTTCACTGGCAGGCTGCAGTCTTCTCTTGACTGGCATATTTGTAGAGACTGATGAACCCAAGATTGGCAGTTCAGAGGGCAGGATTCTGGCTGCAGAAATGAATGAACCCAACGTCAGTAGTTGAGATGGCAGGGTGTTGATGACGCTCAGGAGCAGCAGGCAATACAGTGGCCTTGGATCCTGTCCGAAGGAGCAGAGGTTGAATGATGCGACAGATGTGAACAAGTCAGACTCAGCAAAAAGCAAGGGAGTTTTTCCATAGTGGATCACATCCCTGAGGAAACTTCTTTTCACTTGATTAGTTGTTCATGACAGATCTCATTAAGGACATGATTACATTATGTAGTCCCTACAGATTCACTGCCAAACCACTGAGAATCCTGGCCCAGCCAAGTGGATACCAAACCGTAAATATCACGTACATTCAAGTAAAATTTTGTTTACTGTAACTCAAAAATGGTTGCAGTGGTACACTGACTGGGAACTGCCAGAAATTCAAGCCTGATTTAAAAGAACACACAGAAGGAATAAAATCATTGCTGACATCAGACAGATCTTGGCTGAACGCAGAGGATGTCAAGGGCATTCAGCTGTATGGATCATGTGTAAGTCTGGGTGCATTAGAGAAACAAATCCACAGAAACTCATATGTATAAGACAGAGTTTTATTTAAAGGGTAAGTACACATCAAGAAAACATCCCAACCCAATGCTCCCCAAGCCCACAAGTCCAACATTAGCCCATATGTCCGACACCATCCACAAAGTCCTCCTCCATCTCACAAAATACACGCAATGACGCCAACTGCAGCAGGAAAGCTGAATCAGTGAGCGTGCAAGCATCTCAGCGCTGGCAGGGGTCTGCACACGGCTGCTGCACAGGGCTGCATCAGGGTAGGTCCATGTGGCTTCTCTTCAGGGATGTCTTGCAGGAAGTGAGCCTTGCCAGCTGAAGCAGGGAACTAGCTAAGGCAGCTGCACTCTGGTCCAACCATCAGAAAGCAAGAGACCAGAGAACTAGAAAGGCTAGGCTCACTGAGCCATTTATCTCTCTGCCCTTCAGTTAACCCCACATGTGTTTATCAGCCAGGTTGGCACAATAAACTTTAACTATCTCAGATCATTACAACTGTGGAAATTCCAGAACGTTTCATTGTGCTCGTATAGAACCTGTACGTAGTCCAAGAGGCAGTCTTTGGAATAGATATGAAATGGTTTAAATTCAGGAAGGTATTCATCAGGGTGGTAGCCTTTCATCATACCTATTCAACCTCTATGTTGTGCAAATAATTCAAGAAACTCAACTGCATGGAGAAGAATGTGGTATTAGGACTGGAGGACGACTTGCTAACCACCTGCAAAATGCAGATGACACGACTTTGCTTACTGAACGTGAAGAAGACCAGAAGCACGTACTGATGGAGATCAAAGCCGACATCTCTCTATGTCATCTACAACTCAATGCAAAGAAAACCAAATGCCTTACACCTGGTCAATAAATAACATCTTGCCAACTGGAGAAAATATTAAAAGTGTAAAGGATTTCATATCATTTGAATTCACAATCATTGTCCAAGGAAGCAGCAGTTGACAACTTAAATGTATTATGGTTTGGGGCAAATCTTTGTGTAAAAGACCTCCTTAAATGGTTACATCTCAGAGATGTCAGTTTCAGGAAAGCAGATGTGCCTGACTCAAGCTATGCTTTCTTTATGGGCCTCATATGCATATGAAACCTGGAAAATGAAAACGAACTGATGCTTTTGAATTATTGTTTCGGCAAAGAATATTAAAAGCACCAGGGTCTGCCAGAAGAACAAACAAATATGCTTCAAGGAAGTATAGCCAGATGTTCTTTAGAAGTGAGATGGTGAAACTGCTCATGTACTTTGGGACTGTTATTAGGATATATCAGCTCCTAAAGAGGGACATCATGCTTGATAAAGTAGAGGGTCGGTGAGGAAAAAAGGAAGATGCTCGGAGAGATGGATTGACACAGTGGCTGCAAAAATGGGCTCAAACGAACAGCATCTGTGAGGATGACATAGGACCCGGTAGGGTTTCTTTCTGCTGTACATACAGTCTCTATGAAATGGGACCATCAGAGGGCACATGATAGCAATATTTAAAATACTGACTGAAGAAATCGATGAAAAAACAATTTCACAACAATCTCTATTTTTCTGTTTTTCATTATATTAGTATTCAGTAGTAGAAAAGTTAAATATACGAATATAAAGCATTAATTGTTTTTGTCTGTTAAACTTGGAACTCAAAAGAGGAAACTGAGGCTAAATCCATGTAAGAAGCAAGAACTAAAACAGGCCATAGCTTGTCATATGCCCAGACAAAACTATCATGACCTGGCTCTGGTACGAACCAAGGAAATAAGAATCTTAGACGCCTATAATCTGGGGATTAGAGGAGACCTTAGAAGAACATAGCTCGCTGGTTTTTCCAGATAAGGATTCTGAGTGCAGAGGGTTAGAGAATAATTTGTCACAGTCCTGCAGATCACTGGCGACAGAGCAAAAACTCAGGAGGTGGCTAGCATGCAATGTCCTTGTGAAAAGGATGGATGACTTCATCGTTGTGCCTCTTCATCTTTAGATTCCTAAAAATCTTCCCTGCTTTTCCTGAGGAAAATTTAATTTGCTAATAGTTAAATATTTGTATTTCATTTGCTTTTAGTATAAAACATCTTTATCTCTAAGAATAAAAATAAAGCAGGTGAGTGATGTGTTGTTTTAAGTTGGTCTTGAAGTTTACATAAAATGCCATGCTTGGCTACTAACAGAAAGGTTGGATGTATTTCTACAGAAATACATCTCAGGAGAAAAGTCCAGGGATCTACTTCTGAATAATCAGTCATGGAAAACTCTACTCCAACATACATGGGGGCACCATAGGGAGAGAAGAGCTTCTAATGCATTCTAATTTGACCCTGTTTGATCTAAGAAAGTAGAATAGACACTTTCAAATCCTTACTTATTACTTCCCTGCTGAACCTCCCATATAAATGTACTCCCAAGATATATAGGCTGAATAATATAGTGCTGTACTATTATTGAGCCTAACATGTATAGGCAAAATTATTTAGACTTGTGTTATCATATGGTTAACTCTATCTTCAGATAAGGGACTCAGTCATGAGAATAACCCAAAGGTCATAAACCCTGCCACAACTTTGGAGAAGAGTCCAGTGGGTTAGTTGTTTGTACCCCCAAGTAGCCACATTTATTTGATTCCATTTTCCTCAGGCCTCTTTAATTACTGTGATTGACTTTTGCCTGAAATCCGCTGATGGAAAGGGATGCAAATGAATGCAAAGGCTATGCCAAGCCAGTGGGAAAGCTTTTAAAATAATCTGTGATTATGCAAATGCAGGATTTAGGCTAAGTGTTGTAGTTAAATGATGGTCTCACTCACCCTGCCTCCCACAAACATTGTTCTCTGACCAAAAGTTCCCTTTAATTGTCCTTTATCATCCCTCTAGATGGTAGAAGTCAGTCATGAAGTATTTCAGAATACCCTGAACACTTTAACTTTTGAGTTTGTGTATATGTTTTTAACATTCTATGATAATAACATCATAGTTTGTTTTGTTTTTTTAATTTTGGGGGTTTTTTTAAATGTCACTTTGTTTAAAGTGGGATGTGTTCAAATCGTGATACTTAATCACCCACGGCCATCTGGTCAATTCTGACTCATAGAGCCCCTATAGGACAGAATGGAGCTGCCCCATAGACTTTCCATGGCTGTAAACCGTTATAGAAGCAGACTACTATATTTTCTCCTATAGAACAGCTAATGCTTTCTAACCATCATCCTTTTGGTTTGCAGTCCAGTGGTTTAACCACTGTGCTACCAGGGCTTCCTTATCTAACAGTCTAGAACATATGTATAGTATACTCTGTGCTATCAAGTCCATCTCGACTCATTAGCAACCCATTAGGACATAGTCGAATGGTTCCTGTGGGTTTCCAAGACTGTAATTCTTTCTGGGTGTAGAAAGCCTCATCTTTCTCTTTGGAATGGCTGGTGGTTTTGAACTGCTGACCTTGAGGGGAGCACCCCAAAGGATAACCCACTAAGCCACCAGGATTCCTTTGTATAGTGTATAAAAATTGATTATTTAGAAAAGATTTGTCAAAATGTTTTTATTTTAGATATTTTCAGGTGATCTTTAGGGGCTCTGGTGGTGTAGTGGTTAACACATTGGGCTGCGATCCACATCACCCCGGGAAAAAGACTGGGCTTTCTACTGCCATAAACAGTTATAGTCTTGGAAACCCATAGGGCATCACTATGA